GAAAAAGTTTGAAATTGCTTCGTAACGATTTTGAGAGGAGGAGGTTGTGGCGGTGGCAGTGTTAAACGCCAAAAGCTTGCGTTTATAATTTTGAGCAGCTTGATTGCTTACATTTGCATATTTTGTATTTTGTTTGACGAATGTATTGTTGCATTAACTCCCTTTGAGTTTCCGAAATAATTGATTTTCAGTCACCAAGGGAGAGAAAGGAAACAAAACCACTTTTGAGGTTTCGCAATACGATGCTACGTGATGTTTTCAACTTCGAATAGTATTCTAAGTTTCACGATGGATTATTTGAACAAAGCGTGTTGATCAACGCGAACGCTGTTCTCTTGAACTATTTCTCGCAGCGTGCAAGTAAAACTTGCCAACTGTGTATGTGTAAATCTTACATCTGAACTTCGATTTTTATTAAAATTTCATTGAATCCTGACCTGGTTTATGTTCAACGCAAAGTTTCGAACTTATTCTTTTTCTCTTCCTTTTTCATTATGAAATATTATAGGCTGTCGATTATTAATACGATAAGTATGTCTAACAAAGTCATCAGCTTAACAAGTAAAGAGAGAGGGAGAGAGAAAGAGACAGGTAATGAAAAATAGAAATGAGACATAAACATTTCAGAAACGAATAGTCAATTTTCTCCGCGTCCGTTGGTGAATAAATATCAAACTCGAAAATCAAACTTTGTTGAAAAAATCATCAGGCTCTGCTTGTAAATCAAAGAGATCGGAATTCTCGAGGAAAACTAAAGGACGTTTATACCACACGTTTACCTATAGCTAGCTGCCACTGTTCTTCTTCTCTCTCCCTCGCGTTGTGCATTATATTCACGCGGCGTGCGGCGCATCGATGAAAACTTGCCGCACGGCGTGAAACCTGATTGCGGAACGAGACGCTTGAAATTCAAGCCCCCCGAAACTTATGTGCCGATTTTCCGCAGACCGCAGCTTGCGCGCGATGCAGCCATCCGCACACCCGGAATCACGTTTCCCTTCGCCTTCTCCCTTCCTCCATACCTCTTTTCGACATTACCGCACGATATTAGGGGCAGCGCGGTCGCTACGGCATACGTTTTCGAGCACGCGCGCATTTTTTATCGATATATACTGCGCTCGCACGGCGCAAAATTGCCAACGGCTTTAAACTTCACGCTTGCTTATTATTATTATTTTCTTAATCTTGGAAGCGGTGGTTTTTACCATTTTCAGCAAATTCCAATTTAGGTTACATTTTTGGATCACTGCCATTGTGGCATACGTGATTTTATAATTTCTCAATTTCTGTTCACTGTAGCTTTCTATTTAACAGATAAAAAATAAATGTAGTTTGTTTGGATGAGTTGTTAATTGTCTATGTTGTCATAATAAACGTTTTTCTTGGATGATTAGTGCACTCTACTTCAATTCCAAGTTTTAGAGTAGATTAACGGCAACTGCGAAGCAACTTCAAAATCATATTCCAGTCAATTTCTGTGAATTTTGTTTTTAATTAAAATGACAATTTTGACAGTATTAGCTTGTTATCAATATGCTAATTTGCACGATGAATATCTAAAGGTTAGCTTGGAGAAACAAAATGTTTATACGCTTTGTTATCTAGAATTTCATTATAATCCTAGAACTCGTCCGAGTGTGTAACGTATTAAATTATTTTCATGTTCATGTAGGATATAATCCATAAAAAACCAAGAGCTAAATAATAACGGTTACAATCCACATTTCTTTGAAAATGAGTATGCTTAAAATACTCATAAACGATAAGGAGTATAATGAACCCAACCCAACCCAGTACGATGCTTTTACAAATACAAGTCATACGAAGACAAACAATTAGCCGAAACAATAATCCTTTCTTTGATAGAATTGAATGTTCTCTTGCACTCGTATGAACCGCTAAACGAGCGAAGCATATCAATAAAAACATACTAATTTCCCAGCGGAGCGGTCCTGCTGAAAGTTTAAACTGGCAGTGGGGAAAGCGAACGTCTTCGACGACGTAGCCATTAGCCGCGGTAAACACGAGCCTCGACCTGCAAAATTCAGCCTCGGCTGCAAGCGCTGTGGCGTACGATCGATCGTTCTCTCTCTACCATCAGTCAGAGACACAGATTCACTAGCGCTCTCGCGTCTCTCTGATATCCCGTGCTACTAGGCGATAATCCATACAGCTGAGCGCCTTTCGAAAGAAGGAAAAAAGAGATCGCGCGTGCGCCTGAGAGCGAAGAGCTTTTGCATAGAAATCGTCGTATGGGAATCCCTGCAGAGCGCGCGCGTTGCAATATTAACCGGGATATTAAGCCGCTGCACACTTTAGGGAAGGTAGTTACCCTTAATTTGACACAAACGCTCCCAACGCACATACACGCCTGGATTTGCTGTTTCGTGTTATACTCATGTTCGCATAAGCCAGCTCTCGCGTACGTCGAAATGATTTAACGCGGCTGTGGCATTAAAATTCTGCTCGTCAGATAGGATATGCGAATACTTACGTACGCCCACCCGCAGAGCGAGCAATCAAAAAACGACCATTAATACCGCCCCCGCCGTTATATTGCTTGCATCTCTTTCTTTTTCTCATTCTCTCCCTCTTCCTCCCTCGAAATTTATAGCCTTCTTTATTTCACTGACCGATTTCGTCCTCGTCGTCTTTTATCTCTGTCTCTGTTTCTCTTTTCGTATTCTTTTTCTGTTTCGGGGAATTACTAGCTTTCGCTGCAATTTCCTCGCTACATCGCGGAGGCGGTTGAAGATCTATCGCCTCGGGGATCTTAATTGTTTTACGACGAGAGACATCAAGCGCTATGCAGCAAGAAAATTTGGTGGGATGTATTGTTTCGAAGTTGTGACATTTGTGGCGTGGTCGTTATTATAGCTATGTGCTTTTTTTCTGCGTACTGCATTTCCAGTGGGTTGCTGCGGACTTTCAATATTTCGTATTATCATGTTCATGGCGCTGCAAAGATATGCTTTAACGTAATTTCACTTTACGAGAAGTCAGATCAGTTTATTAAATCCACTGTGCCAAGTTGAAGTAGTTAAGGTCAGAGTTCGGTCAGGCGTTCTATTTATTGAAAAACTTGTTACAGTTGCACTCGTAAAATTCATGACTGTTTGTTAATATTGTAATTCATGAATTTATCAGTATTACATTAGTTTGTCAGAAGAAACGAATTTACCATCTAGAACTTGGTAATTGGGACTAAAAGTGTTGAATATTTAATAGCACCGGGACAAAGTTACGTAAAATAGTCTGCTCGTTACGCGATCTCACGAGACAGAGTTAGTTCGTGGTATAATTTGCAGATAGCTGCTACAGCAATAACGGGTACTTTTGCGAGATCTTCAATTTTTTAAAGAAACAGAAAGTTTTGAAATATTTTTGGTTTTCGAGGACAGGCTAACTCGATAATCGCACACAAACACCTATGATATTCGTCCAACACGCGAAGCAATTGCTTTGACAGTATAGTGTATTGAGGCACAATGTAGGACTGCACTGGCACGGCTGTTTCTAAAACGTACACAGACTTATATAGCGAAGATAAATTTTCACCTATACACATACACACATTCACGTGCGTTGTGATTTTCTTTATCCTTATTCCTTTGTCCTTGTGGGTGTCGTTAGAATCCTTCGTCGGATTTATATCCGGCGCACTTGGAAGTCGAATGAAAAAAGTGCGCTCGAGGGATATCGACTACACCTACAAGCGTATTTCAACGGTATATATGTCGCTCGCATACACCAGTTGTAAGCAAATACCCCTTCTCGATGATTGTGGAAAGAATAAAAGAAAAAAAAACGGATCGAAGAAGAAAACCAGTTATTTTTTCTCTTCGGCCTTTCGTCTTCCTTAGAAAAATGATCTCGGCGTAAGATCATTAGCTACAAAAGTATAATAATCTAAACGAGCTTTGCGACGAATAGTGCTGGAAGCTAGAAAATTAAAGTAAAATATGTACTTTGAAAGGGATGAGGAGAAGGAGAGAGAGAGAGTTGATTTTTTAAAGATGCGTGCGCGTCCCGCGTCCTTCAAGAATTCCCTTTACTGTCGCGCTATGAAGTGACTACTTTCTCCCGGCAACGGCGTCATGCAATTTGTATGCCAAGAAATACGACTGTGAGCGCCTCCACCGTACTCGAGAGCCCTAAGGGAGAACGCAAACAAAAGTTGGCTATCTCGAATGAATACCCCTCACTTACCATCTTCTTTCGACTCTAACTAGATTTCCTCTCACTCAGCGTTCGCTCGCAACTTAAAAAGTGCACGAGGAGTCTCTGAGAAATCACTCGATGCAAGCGTAATTGTCTGGAAAACTTTAATAAAGAGTTACACAACCGCCGCCACCACTGTCAGCGCTGCTGCTGCTGCTGTTGCGCGGGACCCGATTAATTATGAGCTTCGCTCTAAATGACTTTACGCTTATCTCGACCCGCTTTAATAAAGCTCACGGCCTTCATTGTATTCTTACGATTATTATTACAAATCGTCCACCCTGCCCCATTAATTCTCACTCTTGCTTCTCGCGATCTTTCATTTTAATTGTTTTTAATGCTGTATGGCGATAAAGAAAGCGTTTAATCTGGCTTCTCCCTTCTGCTTTCTTTCTTTTCGATCCGCTTGAGTGCATCAAATTTCTGCTCGATGAGAGAAAGAACATCTGATGAATAGGATGCATTCAGCGCTTGCATAGGTTTCTTTTTTCTTTTGTTGTTTAGTAAATTAATTTTAATTGGGAGTTGTTCTTCAGAGAAGCAAGGAAATTCGAAGCTATTGATGATTTTTTAATTGAAAGGAGCGAACTATACAGTCGTAAAGTGGGAAGCCCCTGAGCTGCAAAAATAAATCGCCTTATTCTAAGAATAAAGGAGGTACTCGTAGCATCTGAAATTTCTCTCTGCATTGATGTTTGCGAAGACGAATCATACAATCAAAACTGACCAATCGACACTTTTTAACATTCTGCTCTTTTTCTTGTTCTTTTCATCTACAGCGCCGACGAGGGCTTTGACGGCACGTATCCAACTAACGTTGTGGTCAAGGAGAATGGCACGTGCCTCTACGTACCACCGGGTATCTTCAAGAGCACCTGCAAGATTGACATCACTTGGTTCCCATTCGATGATCAACGTTGCGAGATGAAGTTCGGATCGTGGACTTACGATGGCTTTCAGGTAAAATTTCTTTATAATACAACTTTTACGGCAATGTGATAAAAACTACGTGAGTTTGAGGTTAACGAATTTAATTTTGTTTATGAAATATGAAATAATAAAAATTACAACAAATATAACGGAAACAAGTTTTAATATGCCACCAAAAATGTTATTATGTTCAAAGGTACTTTCATAAAGACAAGATTAAAGATGTATTATATTACATTTCCGCAAAAAGCCTGAGGCAGCTTTTAATTAAATACGTTACTACTTTTTTCGGTACTCATTGTAGTTGGATCTCCAGCTGCAGGACGAAGCCGGTGGTGATGTTAGCAGCTTTATCACGAACGGCGAATGGGATCTTTTAGGTAACGATATTATTTATATAAACTTTAATATTTTCTGTATTTCTTTAATGCAAAAATTGTTATTTACAAAAGGAATTAAGAATAAATGTATTCTTTGGAGCATTATGTAAACTGAAAATTTCTATAAATAACTTGAGTACAGCTCTTCTACATTTTAATGGATTGAAGTAGCTGCAGAAAACAGTGAAATATCATAATGTAATGAATTTACGAGTAATCAAAAATAAAAAGTTTTTTAACTGCAGTTCTTAGATTTTGAAGTAATATGTAATCCTTATACCCCAAAGGAATGCTACCCGTAAACACACATAGACACACGTAAATGAGCGTCAATAAAAAAAAGTAAATGTCTATTATATATTTGCAGGTGTGCCGGGAAAAAGGAACGAAATTTATTACAATTGTTGCCCAGAACCGTATATTGATATTACATTTGTCGTGATAATAAGAAGGCGAACGCTTTATTATTTCTTTAATCTTATCGTGCCATGCGTTTTGATCGCCAGTATGGCCGTTTTGGGCTTCACATTGCCACCAGATTCCGGCGAAAAACTCTCTCTTGGTGAGCAGTTTTTGAAGACATTCTCATCATTTATAAGTCATTCAAAACACTTAATGTTCAGAATGATAGTAATAAAACAAATACAAATATTGCCCATTGCAGGAGTGACAATCCTCTTGTCTCTCACGGTGTTCCTCAATATGGTGGCAGAAACGATGCCTGCGACCTCCGATGCCGTACCGCTTTTAGGTAAATCAAAAAAACCAGTCTTTATTATACTCATGTAATATTTGATCGATTAATATATAACCACGACGCTATATATACCTATGAAAACAGACTAAGAGATTTGTCGTTACGATGATAACGAAAGGCACATTATTTCTACATATTATTCACAATCGATTTGCGTTTCCAGGGACGTACTTTAATTGTATAATGTTCATGGTGGCCAGCAGTGTTGTCAGCACAATTCTTATATTAAATTATCACCATCGTAATCCTGACACCCACGTTATGTCCGATTGGGTATGCGCGGCTTGTTTGTTTTTAATGATAATTCATCTTTTAATGTCACTTGGCAAAGTGATTCACTAATTTTATTGTACAGGTGAGACTCGTCTTCCTAGACTGGCTGCCTTGCATACTGCGAATGTCAAGGCCGCCTCGTGATGAAGATGAGCCGCCGCAAAAATCTCAGAAGCCTTCTCCAGTGACGGGTTCGTATTACATATTAGTTTTCCATTTTCTTCCGCTTCTAGAAATTAACAGTATATCAAGTAGACATATTTTATCATAGTGTTTTTTTTTATAATTAAATATATCAATGAAAATGTTGATTAATAACAAACTTTCGATATAAAGTCGAGATATAAAAGTTATTCTGGACATTTAGGATACTTAAGATAATAAATTGATTCATCATTTAATACAGTTACAGAAAATCTTTTTCAAGGATCAATGCATAATTTTTTTTAAATGAGATAAATAAACATAAAACTAATGGATTTTTCGAATTATCGAATTAGTGAGAACTGTGTATAGACGTTTCGCTTTTATCCGTGATCTATGAAAGAGATAAAGTACTTTCTGATGGGAGTAAGCCCCTATATATATTGACAAAATATCCTTCAATAGATCAAATTCAATGATCAAAGAAACTCTTCATCTTTGACGAGTGTTTAATCAACGCGTAAAAGGCAGACTTCTGTGTGAAAGTATCTTTGTTATATTTATTTATTATATTTATTATATTCCTAAATATTTATATTTAGGAATGACTAAAGTCTTTAAGCATTATCATTGAGACATAAAAATGTAAATTTATCCTTTATTTATAAGAACATGAAAGATATCCAATATCTTGTTTCAGCTATTTAAAAATTAACGCAAAGATAAGGCTATTACTTATTTTTTAATGAAACTTATGAGAAATTTCACTCATTTTTATCAGATAAATTATTTTGTAATTGATATTTATTATTTTCAATGATTGAAATGCCTTTCATATGAGAAAGATTAATGTTATAGAATTCGAGTTATTTTGCACTTCATAAAAAATGACATATTTAGTTATCTGTCACTGATCAATAGATTATGTATCAAAATATTTCGAATAACGTTGCCATTGCGTTATTTTGAAAATAGCTAAAATAACGTAATACATATTGGTTGTTTTCAATGGATCATATGCTTTTACGTCTGTGAAATATTTGTTAAAATTATCATTGCCAAAATAATATTTTAACGGATAATGATGTTAAATCGTAATAATAAATTAGAGCAACAATTTTATCGATTAAATTTTACCTCTAATTCATTGTTTAACAGCTTTATTCCTTAAACATTCCGCATAACGACAAAAATTTGATGTTTCATATTATTTAGTGTACTTAAAAGTGAAATGAAATAAAATACGTGTGCCATTGAAAATAAAGAATATTGACTACGTTACGTTATTTTTAATTCAATAAAATTTTTTTCATTATCTTTGATGAATCAATTGGTCAATTACCAAAAAATAACGTAAAAATTAGTAACGGAATACATACTTCAAGGCTTGGATTTGTGTTTGACAAAATTTTAATTTGGTGCAGTTGTCAAATCCAAATTATTAATCAACTAGAACGTCTACAAAGTCACGTCACAAATGATAAATCCGTATACTGTGAACACAGATACCAGCAAGTCGCACGGAGACTTGGAGTTGCACCAGCGCTCGAGTAAGTCCCTACTGGCGAACGTGTTGGATCTGGAGGACAATGCGCTCGCATCGCACAATAATTTGCTGAACAACGTGTACAGTACACCTGGGCCGCATCATCCGCATCACCACGTGCATACGACTCCCCATCATCATCATCATCCGCATACGGCAACGACAACGCCTCACCATCAGCATCAAACACCGCTGGCCCACTCGTCCTATCCGCCACCACCACCGCCGCCGCCATCGGCCCACCAACTTGGCCACACGCCCCATCATCATGCTCACCCGCCTGATCCATCGGCTGGCCCACAGGTCGAGACCATCCTCCAGAGTGCTTGCTTCTGCGCGCGATATGAGCTCATTCTTATTCTCAAGGAAATCAAGGTAATTTGCTTTATTCATTTTCTATAGACTGTCGATATATTTGGAATTTTATGTAACCAGTTTGTACGGAAAAATCATCATTTATTACTAAATTAAAAAGATATTTCCAAATAGACGGCTTAGTAAAAAGATTATTAATAAGTGAGTTTAATATAAGGAATAAAAAATAAAAGTTACGGATTCTCTAGATAAAATATTGCTGTAACAAGAAAAACTTTTCTAAAAATGAAGTTTCCTAAAGATATTCAAGTAATATTTATAAAGTTCATCACGATTTGTGTGTTAAGTGGAAATTACTGACAAAGAAATATATAGTGATAATTAATAATCGTACTCAAATATGAAAAAATTCCGGAAACTCACAGTTCACAAAGACGTGGGATTTATAGCGGGAAAATTTATGACCGTTAACCAGGCCACTTTTCTGCATATACTTTCTTCTTTTCATAAAACTTGCATGTGAGTAAATTCGGAATAATCCCTGATTTAAATTGTTAAAAAGATCTTCCAGTTAGATAAGTCGACGTTTTCTTCGTCAAATTTATGGCATTTCACGCGCTGAGAACTTGGATAAATGTTGCGGAAAATATTGTGCTTGAAGCAAGATGTATTCAACCGTTCTGACGTGAAATATCGCCAACTTTATATCATCTTGTTTGATATGCAAAAAAATAAATAAATAAAATACAAAAAATTAAAATGATTTTTGGATTTCTTTTTTATTCTGAATACATTTGTCGAAAAGTTTTTTTGCACAAAGTCTTTTTGTTTTCTTTAGTTCTATAATCACATTTATCATGAAAATTGTGTACAATTTGTGCTTTTTCAGAAGCATCTAATACAATTGTAATGCATTCAAAGTACTTAACACATTTATAATGCTAAAATGTGTTACATCTTCTTATTTCAAAAATAAATTATTCAAAAGCTTCGTTGCGGAGTAAATCCGACGTTTACATAATTAGGCGTCAATTGTTGATTTGCAGTATATGTTTGCTAAATACATTAATTATTAAAATATGATCTGAAACTATTCAACAACAAGTAATTGTATGATCTAGTTTATTTCGATCTCAATATTTTACACGAAGTAACATCTTCGTAAGTTCATTTTGGAGTAAGAATTAATTTCATTCGATTGAAAGTACGTTTAGACACATCAATTGGTATTCACATTCGGTTTTAGCTTCACGTTTACAAACTAAGAAAAAAGAATGTTTTTGATAGAATCAATGAAAATAAAAAGAATAAGTTTATGGCACATAATATTCTAAATATTATTTTTTCAAGACAATAAAAGAAGTTTTCATTGTTAACGTCAAGTACAACATTAAGACAGTAAAAATTACATTGAAAGCAGATAGTTATGACGTTTTTCAGATTTCATCTTGCACTTCTAAACTAACATACAGTCGAAAAAAGTTCTCCAATCTACTGTGTGTATACAAAATGTAACAGCTGTTGAAAAATAGTGCAAACAACGTGATATTTTTGTTTATCTATATTAGTTTCGGCCGTAAAGATGTAGTATGGGAAGTAGATATGATGGAAAACGAGGCATGCAGAGAATAGCTAGGCTCGAATGCGGCCCTAGAAGCTCAGCGGATTCGAGGTTTTTTGAGTGTATTTGACTTGGCGAATGCGAGGCTAATAATCCTGCACAAACATTCGCAAGGCGATTGCCGCTCTCTCGGCCGCGCGTGCTCCATCATTTTCCACGAGTAAGCGGGAAACAGAGAGCAAAGTTTTCCGTTTGCGTTGCACTCGTGTTTTGCGTTAGCCGATGACTGCTCTAGCTCGAGCGTGGAAATCGTCGAGAAAGGAAAAACTGTTGGCCTAGTTAAATCCGTGAATTTGAGCACGAGGAATCGGCAAATCATCGTGAAATTCAATCGGCGTAAGCCGAGATAAGGCAAGTTTTCGGGAGCTTTCATTTTGCTGCAGATTCCCAACGTTTACCCTGCAGATTAGGATCGCATGCATGCGTGCTCGCGAACGACAACACTCGAGTTTAGATTTCTGATTGCTTTTCGTTTGATATGTAATTTGTCGTAATATCCTTTTGGATCGAATCCAATTAATCAGGTAGCGAAATCTATGAGATATTGCTCTTGGACTCTCTCCAGCAATGCAATTTACACATTGTATATCTTTGCCTGAAAATAGTATTCGTTTTTTAATCAGTGGAATTCTATTGCGCGCTCTCGCGGGCGGTGCTCCAAAAAAACTAGAACACTGTTCGAATCAAATAGCCTTTTGTCAACTGATACACGGCTCTCATTCTCTCTCACTCTATACATGCTGCAACAAAATAGTCTGGTTAATCTTCACAGTCGCGTATACTTTATGAATATGTTGGCTGCTTTTATTTTTCCAACGATATGGCGTATAGCACGATAAGTCGATTGATTTTATCCGTTCATTCATCTTTTTTCTCGCGAAATATGCTGTTTAGTCGCTCTCCCTTTTTTCTATTTGTTCGACTCTGTGGTCTCAAATTTCAAAATGGATAAAGCTTTCTATTTTCGTGTAAAAAATTTTGCGTTGGAAATCTTTCGAAACTCTTCGATCCTCGTCAATTAATAAAACTTCTTTGATCATATAAAAGCGAATATGCTGCAAAGAATATACTTTTAAAAATTAAATATAAATTAAGTTGAGTGCGATGGGGTAAGATGTTAGAGCCACTGATTTATGTTTGCAGATAATCACGGATCAACTGAAAGACAACGAGATTCAAACGGGGATTACTAACGATTGGAAATTTGCAGCGATGGTGATTGACAGAATGTGCCTAATCATTTTTACTCTGTTCACGATAATCGCCACCATCACCGTCCTCTTTTCGGCGCCACACATCATTGTCACGTGATTATCGAGCTCCTCACGCATCCGAAGGAGACGAAGGCGTAGCCGCAGAAAGTGCATCGAGGTCGCTTTCCGGCTATGCTGTGGGCGCCATCGTTATTGCTGCTACTGCTGCTCAGCTAGAACAAGAGCCAAACTAATGTCGCTTTTTGTTACACCTCAACCGTACGCTTTGGGTTTTTCACGGCTGCTCGCCCAGCCACGCGTAGCGTTTTAGCGCTAATAATGAGAAATATTATTAAAGATGACATGCATACAATAGTGAAATAGAAAGACAACAGGACAGAGAGAGAGGGGGGGGGGCGAAAGAGAGGGAGGGAGAGAGAGAGAGAAAAGCGGGAAAACTAAAAACAAAAGAACAATGTGTGTTTACGGAGCAAGTTCGCTAGGAAGAAGAGGAAGAGAGAAACTCAGCCCAAACACGACGACGACGACGATGACTATGACTACGACGGCGACGAGGACGACTACGATGAAGAGCAATGCTATCAGTGCTAAACGTGAAAACAAAGCAATACACGAACGAGCATGAGAATGACGAACTTTGTTCCAGACTCATCCCTGTGTTGCGAGACAAACGAGTAAACGTCTAACTCTATGATTTTATCTCTCACTGTATTCAAAGTTTTCGAAATGTAATATCACACCTACATGCGACGACGCCTTAGCGATTCGAGAAAGATAACAATGCGAAATTCATATTCGACAATTACCGCGCGTTATTTCGTATCCCACTACTCGATACATATAGATACTCAATCAAGCGCGACGCTTAGTTCCCGAGCGTCGATTAACTATATATTCAGACGAGCCTTTACCAACAATCCGGATCTTTCAATCAGACTAACGATTTTAATGCGTTCACTTTATAGACAAATAAAATCAAAGGATAATCGTGCATTTAAAATAGAAGTACGGATAATGCCTTTTGGCCATTACCTAGATCAACGTTTAAAAACAAAGAAACAAAAGTGAAATAAATCAATACTGAGGAAAATTACGCGCGATACATTGATAGTTATGAACAATTTACGATTTACGTAAAATTAAAAAAAAACCAGCAAAACGAAAAGAAAAAGTACAAAAATAAAATCGAAAAAAAAAAATTATGTCACTCGAGCTGAAAGAAGAAGCATTAAAGCGCACACATGAATTATGTAAAATTTCTCGAATAACACAAAATATGAACTGCCAAGGTGATTCAAATATGCCAGTGAATTTTATTAATCCGTACACGATTAAATATCATTAGTATATTCATATAAACAATGTGAGAAGAGCGTTGCCGAAATGGTGATTGCAGCGTGCACAAGACGAGTGTTGATGGCGAGTAAGATGAGATAATGATCGTCAATGAGCGAATAAGAGAGATCGGGATTCATATTACGAAGCAGACAATTTCACTGATAATAATGATAATGACATCACCCGTTAAATACTATAAATAATTTACAATCCGGAAAATATTACACATATACAGGTTTCCTATAAACATAGAGCGTATTATGAATCTCGTTACTCACTTCGAGCATAGGCGTAAAACGAGTATCCGTCTTTTATAGACGACATTTTTATGGTCAAACGTAACAAATCTTCCAAAAGTTTTTCGAATACTGTTAATAACGAATTAATAATCATTAATATAGATGATTTATTAAAATTTGCAATAGATATCTCATTACGAGCAGGTTTATGTATCCTTGTTATATGTTTTTTTATATATTATCATCACTTGTTCATCGTTGAGGAATAATTAAAATAATATACTATATCTCATGTAATCACGTTGATTTTCTATACATTTATGCATATATTCATTAACCATTGTATACAACGCGGTGCATTGTTGAACGCTTTACAAGAATCAGTACGAGATAATTACTTTCGCATAACATCACACGCATGTATAAAGATCCATATTGCGCATCAATTCGACTCTTCTTCTTCCTCTTCCTCTTCACGACTACAGTCCATTTAAGAAAAAAATGGAATAGATAATTCCTAAAGTTTGAAGTAAAACGAAATGACGTGGGTATAGCAAGCAAAAATAAAATAATTAACAAAAAAAAAAACAGAAAAAAAGACAGGGACATTATGAGTTTCCAATATGTTTTGGCAATCCACGCTATTATCAGATTGCGATTCAAGGAGTTAAGCAAAAAAACATCAAATAAAATAAGAATGTAGCTTTTATCGATTGTTTAGTGAAAAAAATATAAAAGTAATGTTGCGGATCTGTGTCAAGTGTGCGCGCATGTATATAATTTTGCTTTATAGAACATTCCTGTTTTAAAAAGAAAAATTTATTGGATTTATCTATCGGTTGTAAGTACATTACAAAGGTTATGTTACCTATTTGAATCTTCTATTATAACCGTTAAATTATCTAAGTGTATTCTAAAATAAGTAAAATTTTATAAACTTAAAAGAATCAAAATCTATATATGTTAAGAAGCTTTTTTAAAATTTAAATGTAATGCTATGGATAACTTGAAAATCATTCCGGAAATGAGGCTTGTCGTGTCGCAAATTTAGACAAAAGTTTCACTAATGAGTGATTTTTAAGTTATTTTGTCGATTTTGCGTAACAAGCTGACGCATAAAGAAATTTTCAACTTATTTAACAATAACGAGAGACTTTTTGTGGCGCGCGCTTGCGTGACTTCAACGATTTGCAACACGCGACAACCAATCACGTTAATTCTTAAATAAGTATTAAAGTTGCGAGCTAATTAAAGTGAAGAAAAAAAATGTTGTTAATAATGTTAAAAGGATAAATGAAAAATAACTATGATAAATATTAAATAAAAATATTATTAATTCATGATAAATGAGAAAATAATTAAATAAAAAACGAGTAGTTGAAGTACAGTGTGACAAAGAAAAAAAAGTGAATTCCGATCTCAAAAGCGAATAGAAACTTTGTGAAAAGACAGACTCAAAAAGGATGATGATGATTATTATTATTATTATGAATAATATTTAAACAAAAATGTACTACAGAATTAAGAAAATAATGTTTAAGCAGTGAGGTGAGAGAAAGATGAGAGTTGGAAAAAAGTTGCCTAGCTAGGTTTACGATTTCCAAGCGAATTTTTCAAATTTTTTCAATGAAGAAAGCCATGTAGTCACTCCAAAATTATTGGAAAAGCATTCGTAAAAAATCTTTCTTCGAACTTTTTACTTCAAATATTTTACAAGTAAATCAACGTCTAAGAATTTTAGCCAGCTCTTCCCTTTGCTGTCTACATTTTTAACGGTAAATTAACCATTTTTGTACAGTCAGTTGTCGAGAAACATTTTTTAAGCATCTTCAAATTTGCAATGACTTATAGTTTTTTCACTGATTTGGGAAAGGGAATATAAAAAGCAGATATAAATTATACTTATTAAATAGATAAATACATTAATACACGGACGCAAACACGTTGTTAATATGCGATAAATAATAAGTATTGATCAATTATTTAAATGAGCAAGCGGAGATATTTGGCTTTTTGCATAATGCAAGTGTCTTAAATTCATTTTATTTAATAATATATGTTTGTTTAGTACAATTCGATAATTACGATAGGTACCTGACTCTTCATTAAAAATTTATTCACGATCATTTTCAAATTTCTAAAAAGATAATGGATCTAGTTGTGCTTGCAAGCGTTATTCGGTCCACAATAAGCGCGAATGTGTCTTTCCTGATTTTTTACGCTACAACTCAACGAAAATGACGAATAAATCGATTCGTTCGACAAAATAATACGTCATTGAGAAGAAAAAAAAAACAATCGTATGCTCCGTATTGCCCTTTATTATCAACTTAGTGATGGTATTCCCTAGCGAAAACAAAACATAAAGTCAAGCTAACCTCTCTTTTGAAGAAGGCTTATAAAGTTTTATTTAAAGAAGACGAAACTATTAAACATGTACCGCTAAACATAATCTATACATATTTAAACTATTGAACGCTAAACTCGTACTCGTATAAATACTAAACTAAACTAACGCAGTAATAAAAATAATTACTAAATGATATGAAATTTATCTAAGAATGCGTGCAGAACTTTAATAAAACAAAAACATTGCGTAAGAAGCGGCGAAAAAAATTTCGATTGGAACGAAGTGAAATTGAATGTCATTTGGAAATTACTTTCAGTGATTATTTAAATAGAACCGCTTTGTTACTTGTTCAAAAAAGGAAGAATGTTTACATTTTTCAAACGTATTTCTATTCAATAATTAATTCACGTATATTTTTACAAAAAAAGACAGAAAAAAATTGCGTTTAGTAGAATTTTGCTCAAAATCATGTGCAATTAAAATACAAAATCATTGAAAGAGCAAAGTTGTACTCAAAGCGGCAAAAAGTAACGACGCGATTTATTAAGTGATCGCTGGAAGTACGTATACACGCATTGAAAAATGTAGGTACTTGACGAGATAAAATGGGTTAGAACATTATGGAAGAAATTGTAATTAACAAACAAGTAATAATCGAATTAGTCATGTAGTTGATTGATAAAGTGAGCATACGGAGGAAAGACGAGACAGAGAGAATGCTGGAGTAGAGAAAGAAAAAAGAGATTAGCATACAGCAGAAATATAAGTATTTACAAGAATACACTCAGTCTTTTTCTGACAAGTGATCGATTACTGAAACATTGCGTTTGAGAAAATGCAAACAAATATAGCGTGAGTCGAATTTGTTGTAAAAAGTAGTGTAAATTTCGATAGTTTGAAAAGGATGTGTCGATGTTTTTTTAATGTATCATTTTTCAAAGTAGATTATATAGCGAAACAAGCCTAAGAGAATTTTTTATGATATGCGTTCTTAAGTCGATTTCATAATTTTTCGAGTAACAAGTAAAAACCGAAGTTGCTTAAGCTAATTTCGAAAGCGATGTTGATATCAAGTCGTAATCATGGTTAGTTGCATTTACATATAATCACGAGTTTGCAATGTTGATGATAAAATACCGAGGGCAGAAAAATGGTTTAGAACAGTTAATTAAAGCACATTCTCACTCTATTTCTCTGTCTCCTAAACTCGATAAAAATGTGCGTTCAGCCCACGTGCAATATCTCCGAAACCTACCTACGATAAATCGAGATGGAAACAAACCGAAAGAGAAAGTTTCAAGAATAAATAGAATTATATGGTGACGTTGGATTCTGCTGTACATGAAACAAATATATAATAAACAATAAACTCTTCCGAAACTTTTATTCCCTAAAGAAAATACAGAAAAATTAGCAACACACATACGGACGACGAAATATCGAGCGTCGTATCGGCAGATTGCGTCAATTCATCGTCAAAATAGATATTGTATAC